TGAGACCCCCTATACATTTTCTCTCACCCAACCAACCCCTTTTGCTACTTTTTCTCTGTGTGCTAAGGAGAGGAGAAAAAGAAAAGAAAATAGGGGGAAAAAGTACAGCTGATCGTAGTGTCAAAGTTTCTCTCTCCTCTGCCCAAAGGTATAATGATGCATGGGGTGGGTTTTATTTTGCCTTTTTCTTTTTTATATGAACAAGCTAGGGAACCGGGGGTGGGGAGTACGGGGTGGGGATGGGATGTAGACTTGGAAGGTGCATCCATCCATGGATGGTTGAGTACTTTATGTGTGCATGTAGAGACAAAGCACATGCTGCATGGAAGGCGTGAGAAGGGAGAGGAAAAAATATGATTAACCTTTTTGGTTAGGCAAATTTTAAAGAGTCCTTTTGGGTTGTAGATTTGTTCACCTTTTTTAAAAATTTTAAATTTCATATTTTTGTTTGGTTTACTTCATTGATTATTCTATAGCTGTCATTTTTCTTCAATGATAGGAAGCTAGTTGTGTCCTTAGTAGTTCATTAGGGTGGTAGGTTAGGTTGTAGGAATTTAGTCTAGTCTAGAAGTGTTTTGTCTTAGAATGTTAGTAGCTCTGGTTGTGTCCGTATTATTCCATCGCGTCTGTAATATTGTGCCATTATTACTGCTTAGTGTTATTATTTTTCTCTCTATTTTCTGGTTATTACGTTCTTTGTGTTATCTTTCTGGACTTCTTTGATGTTACTGCTACTGTCACGACCCAAAACTCAACATGTCGTGATGGTGCATATCATAGTACTAGACAAGCCGACATTCACAAATAACCAAGCATCTCGTTCCCACGAGAATTTATGATCAGCTACTGCCTAAACTAAACTAGTTACGAGTTATTTATACAAGAGATTTTGAGGAAGATGATTGTAGTTTTTACTAACTAAATTACTACGAAACTAATAAGCAAATAAGAGAATACGATTGCAAGTAAATCAAATAAACACGTAGGAGTGAATTGAATATGATGGGGATATTCCGGGGTTATGAGATTAATGCCTCTTCTATTGCATTTTTTAGATTGATTCAACTACTTAATTTATCTAATTTGTTGATTAACAGGATCTAAATTGCTCGCGAAGTTATTTCGACGCCTTGCTCTCATGTTCTAGCCAACCTAACACTATATGACTGTAGAATTAGAATTAACTAGAATGAATATGCAACGCCTGCAATAATAATCAAGTAAGGCAACTAGAATGTGTCCATCCTAATCTCGAATCCATTCTTCGATGCCCGGATTCAAGAACTTACTTTATTCAATCTTATATGCAATCTATAGTCCCAACTTTCGAGTTCAACTATAAGTTCGTAAATAGTATTCAACTGTTAGCTATACAGTTAAATAATTTAGCGCAAGATTGAATAAACATATTAATATGATAGAATTAAGAAATATCATCAATCGTCAAACAACAATAGTCAATAACAACCAAGAACCACAGAATAATGAGATTCTTAGCCACTCATGTTCAAAACAATAATCAAAATATTATTTTTAAATATAGAAGCTATGGGGATGAAAGATGGAAGAATCGATAAATTTCTTGCTCTGTTTGTGTTTCTATGCCTTTGTTGCCTTCAAGCTCGTGAGGACTAGTCTGTAGCATGGTTGAGCGCTCCTCAAGCCATGCGAGGTGAGGTCTGGGGCGAGGTCCGGGGGGAGGTACCCTTGTCTTGCTCCGATTTTCTCCTTTCGTGCTCTTTTTTTGTGTCTACAATACCTTTTTGTACAACTTTTATTATTTTATGTTTTCCAATAATCTTACACATAAAAACAACTTAATTAAGCTCAAACATTGTACAAAGCAGTTTAAATATAAGATAAGCAATGCACTAAAAATATACATTTACAACCGAATATCACTACCCAACACTTAAACGTTGCTCGTCCTCAAGTCAACCAACAATTTGCATTATCTTTGAGCACCTTATTTTCACACAATTGAGGCACACTACACCAATAATCATGGTTGATAGCAAAAACTAAGCAAAAGCATACGCAATCACATACACTTCCCCTTTTACTTATGCCATTCCTCAAAAGAAATATTCACAACAAAAACAATATGCTCATAACAATCCTAGTCTCAAAAACCTACTCAATATGACAATACACTAATGGCTTGAATACTTAACATCATAGAGAAATCTAATAACGTCACTTATCCTTCGCGAAATCATGTGCCTTCATAACAAGAACAAGAGATTAAGTTGAATTCACACACTTGAATCAACTGCTCAAATATATTTTAAGGACTCACATATATCAAATAAAATCGATCGCTCCCACAAAAGAAGTCACATGCATGCAATTGGTACCATAGGCTTGCCCTTAATATAAATCTCTACTAATGTAGGCTCACTTGGATTAAAAATAATTAGGACTTTTTCTTGGTTGTAATGTGGGCTAAGGGGTGGGTAGGATATATTTAGGAGTAGTGGTTCACTCTCCTTAGCATTTTAACACATCACATAATTAACTTTAAGTGCAAATTCTTTAATCCCAACTTCAATTTCGCAACCAAAATTACCCCCAACAATGTTCCCTCTTTCATTAAACACTACTTTAATTCATACTCACTAGCAAGACAAGATGTCAATTTGCTTATCTACTTTCTTTTCTTTCAGATTTTTCTTTTATTTTTCGACTATTGTTTTCTTTTACAATTTTCGATAGTGGTGTATTCGTTTACAAAATAAGTGCACCTTTCTTCCTTTCACTGGTTCCACTCACAAGTCACTCAAATTCTCTCCTTACTTCTTTTAGCGCTCATTTTACAATTAAAATATTTTAAGAGGTAAAAGGATTAAAATAATATCAATTAAGAACAAAAGGGTATAGGCTTGTGATGTGGGTGCCAAATAAAAGGTCTACAGGCTCAAAAGGGTTAACTAGGGATAAATTTTATTTATGATAAGCATTAAAGCACAAAAAGATCAAATAAAGCCTAAAATTATTTTCAAACCATGCAACACCTAAAATTTTGCTTTAACTTACACAACGGGCATGTTCTAGACTCAAATGCAATGACTTGGACTATATAAAAACCTCACCACACAAGGCACATACTCATAAGCTTATTCCAACTCTCAAACTAATGCAAGTATCTACGGAGCCACTAGTTATTAAGCATTAAGCACAAAGTGAATAATAGTCAAGTAAATGAGACATAAGCGTCACAAGACATGCTATACAAATACTCAAGGCATCATGAACAATTTTGAATACATCGGGAAGATACTACACATGCCAAAGCCTAAATATGCTACTATTAAACAAGTCAAAAAGCACCTAGAAATCTCATCTTTCTTCCTCCATTTATTCCCTAAATTCTAATCTATTCTAAAAAAATTTAAAAACTACTACCCGATTCAATCTACATCCCATAAAAATAAACCGAGGCACAAAGAAAAACCACGTGGAATTATTACTACCTAAAGGAAACTAAAAGACATGTTTTTTGAATTTTTCTATTTTTTAACTTTTATTTTGTTAGACTTAAATCCCTCAAGAAAGCTGCCTAGAAGATCAATCTTCGGGAAAAGTCCAAATTTTGCTTCAATTATTTTTTGATTTTTCATATATTTGTTTTTTTTAATTAAGCTATACTAAAATAGAAAACAATAAGCTAATCTAGAATATACTAAACTAAAAAAAAAATAAGAAGCTAACAATTAGTCTACTATTTACATACCACAGAGGATCCCGCACCCCACACTTAAAGTATGAAATGTCCTCAGTGCGTATAAATGCAATAAAAATTCAGAAGGGTGGTAAGAAAACTCCTTGGTCACTCCTCTTCATCCTCCTCATCAGCTCAACATGTGGTCGTAACGATCCCACACTTAAAATTTTAGCACATGGCCCTTCCATCAAATCAAGTTTACTCAGACTTCACCTTGCACAATTTAAGCACGTAGCATCATCCAATCAACTAGTTTGCATGTAAGCACAACGTAATCACCATACTTTTAACCATATACCCGGCTCCGTTGAGCCATCCCACACTTAAAATCTTATGTTATTCAGGCTCACAAACCACTAGTGTATCACCCCGGAGACTCGGGCTCCAATTGGGACAAATATTGCATTTGAGGCATTTTGATAAATACTTGGCGCGCACTAGTTGTGTAAGATCTTGTGCGGGTGAGGGATTACCTCACCCTCCCAAATCGATTTGGATTTTGAGTGTACGCACTCATGTAATCAATAATCACATTCCTATAGGGTTCATGAGGGTGTGTGTGCTTGTGCGGGAAGGGGTGAGATAAAAATAAAAGAAGAGAGAAGAGAAGACTTACTTGGGCGCCGCGAGCTAGGACGCGAGATTGCCCGCGTGACTGTCCTGGCGAAGCCAGGTGTGGGGCAAGATGGTGAGCTGGGCAGTGCGAGGTGTCTCGCGAGCTGGAGCTCGCACCTAGGCAAGCGCCACTAGGTGTAACACGAGGTCCATACCTCGCTAGGCATGGTATGGGGCGTGTACATGTGATTTTTCATTATGCTTTTGACTGCTTTATGCGTTTTGACCTTCCGATCTCGCTCCTGTACCTATTCAAACACTAAAACTCAACCTGTTAGTACCCAAAAGCAAAAATAAAAATCAAATTAAATAAAATAATCTACGAATTAGGTTGCCTCCAACAAACGCCTTAGTTAACGTCATGGCATGACATTTACAATATCACCATGGGTTGCCTCCCATGAAGCACCTGATTTAATATTGCGGCACGATATAAATGACATGCTCAAGCTAGACGCTTTTGTTTCCTCCTATTTTTATGGAGTTTTGTCTTCTTACACGCTCTAGGAGGAACTCCTCTTTTCTCTCTGACCCTTTTCTCTTTTAGCTTTACACATTCAACTCGCAACACCACTTCTTCTAACTCGATTTTCTTTTCCATACCACTAGGCTCCACATAAAGAGCTTGCTCTATCAACTTCGATTCTACCACAGAGATATTTCATAAATCCTCATAATGCTTGGGAAGTATAAGCGCCTTGTACACATTAAAAGTGACTTCCTCATCATGTACTCTCATCTTCATCTTTCCTTCCCTCACGTATATAGTTTCTCCACCAATAGCCAAGAATGGTAACCCTAAAATAACAGGCACTTCTTCATCTGGCATGTAGTCAAATATAATGAAGTTTGTGGGAAAGATGGACTTCCCCACTCGTACGAGCATATATTTAATAATCCCCTCTAGCACTGTCAACGACCTATCCGCTAGCTGTAAAGTGATCGTTGTAGGCCTAGACACTCCCAATTCGAGTTGCTTGAAAATAGATAAAGGCATCAAATTAACACTTGCCCCTAAATCACATAAGGCTTTACCGATCTCATGTTTCTCATTGGCCAATGGAATTGTAAAACATCCAAGATCCTTCAACTTTGGCGGGAGCTTACTTTGCACTCTAGCACTGCACTCGGTAAGTGCAACTCTTTCAAACTTGGCATTTCTTCTCTTGTTAGCCACAATATCTCTAAGATACTTTGCATATTTGGGCACTTCTTGCAACACTTCCACCAAAGGCAGATTCACACGTACCTGGCTCAAAATATCTATGAACTTTCTATACTTTGCTTCATCTTTCTGTTTCTGTAGTCTTTGTGGAAAAGGTGGTGGCAACCTTGCATTTATCTCTTGCCTTTGTTTATCATCCTTCTTTTCGGCTTTTTTTACTGGATTAGGCACCAATTCTCTTTCAGATATAGACTTTTGAGAAGGAGGCTCCTCCAACTCTCTCCCACTTCTTAGATTAATGACTTGCATGTGTTTTATAGGATTCTTCTCAGTGTCACTTGGGAATGCTCTAGCAGGTTTAACATTCTGATTGGAGGCTACTTGCTCGAATTGCCTCTCCAAATTTCTCAAATCAGTCTTGAGTTGTTGATTGTCAAGCCGAAGTTGTTGATTGTCGGTTCCAAGCTGTTGGTTGTCAAGTAATAACTTTTTTAACCAGTCATTTGTGCTCTCTTCTGCTTGCTATGGTGGTGTCTGGGTTTGGTTGAAGTTCCCTTGGGGTCTGTATTAGTTTTAATTTTGACTTTGATTGACCCCATGAGAAGTTTGGGTGATTCCTCCAGTTGGGATTATAAGTGTTCCCATATTGTGCATATTGGTTCATTCAACCTTTACTCTGCTGGCCCACATAATAAATTGATTATGGATTTACCAGACATTAATTACTCGTGTGACTTTCTCCACAAATTTCACAACATATGGCCATCCTTTGAACCTGATACATTTGATGCCCTTGACCCACTGCTATCTTAGCCACTTGGTTGGTCAGTTTAGCAATTTCTGCTTGCATGGCTGACATCTCATCAAACTCGAATGTACCTGCTACTTTCTGTCTTATCATTCTTCTTAGTTCACCTTCACCTTACCAGTTATGATCATTCCAGTGATGTTGTTTAGTAGGGTCTAAGTTTCACTATATGGCTTTTGCATGAAACTACCTCCACAAGATGAGTCTAGATTCAGTTTAGAGGTCTCGTCCAAACCATCCACAAAAGTATGATCCAAAACTTTATCAGTTTGACAGTGATGCGGGCAATCTCTAAGTAGTTTTTTTATATCTCTCCCAAGCTTGATGTAGAGTCTCGCCATCCTTTTGTTGAAACCCTAGAATTTGGATTCTCAGTGACTTTATTTTCTTTGTGGGAGAGGATTTGATGAGGAATTTTCGTGCTAGATCATCCCATGTGCAGATTGAGTTTGCTGGCTCTTTGTTCAACTACTCATTTGCTTCCCCCGACAGAGAAAAGGGAAATAAAGTCAGTCTGACATAGTCCTTGGAGACGTTAGGATAGTTGTATGTATTCGTGATCTCCAAAAACATTCTGTATGTGCCTTTGCATATCTTCATTTGAAAAACCCACAAATTACCCAGTGGATTGAATCAACTGCACCACGTGCTGTTTCAGCTCGAAGTGCTTAGTTATGCCAGGCTTCACGATAGCCTGAGTCATGTTCGCGAGACTAGGCCTTGTGGCCTCAATCACTGGTCTCCCATCATTCTCTGCCATCTCGATTGACTGTGGTTGGACTACAATGCCCAACTCTATAGTTTTTGCTCTTGCTTCCGCCTCCCTCCTTAACTTGTGAAAGAATCTTTAAGGTTTCAGGAACATGGGGAGGAAGATTGTTCAAACCGTTACTTCTTCTTAGTATTCAATGTGAACACTTGTAGAGTCAAAAACAGTAAAAAAAANAGTTTTTATATCTCTCCCGGGCAATCTCTAAGTAGTTTTTATATCTCTCCCAAGCTTGATGTAGAGTCTCGCCATCCTTTTGTTGAAACCCTAGAATTTGGCTTCTCAGTGATTCTATTTTCTTTGTGGGAGAGGATTTGATGAGGAATTTCCATGCTAGATCATCCCATGTGCAGATTGAGTTTGCTGGCTCTTTGTTCAACCACTCATTTGCTTCCCCCGACAGAGAAAAAGGAAATAAAGTCAGTCTGACATAGTCCTTGGAGACGTTAGGATAGTTGTATGTATTCGTGATCTCCAAAACATTCTATATGTGCCTTTGCGTATCTTCATTTGAAAAATCCACAAATTACCCTGTGGATTGAATCAACTGCACCACGTGCTGTTTCAGCTCGAAGTTCTTAGTTATGCCAGGCTTCACGATAGCCCGAGTTATGTTCGCGAGACTAGGCCTTGTGGCCTCAATCACTGGTCTCCCATCATTCTCTGCCATCTCGATTGACTGTGGTTGGACTACAATGCCCAACTCTATAGTTTTTGCTCTTGCTTCCGCCTCCCTCCTTAACTTGTGAAAGAATCTTTAAGGTTTCAGGAACATGGGGAGGAAGATTGTTCAAACCGTTACTTCTTCTTAGTATTCAATGTGAACACTTGTAGAGTCAAAAACAGTAAAAAAAATTAAATCTCGAAAAAAAACAAATAAAAGCCTATTTCAGAAAAGTAGCTACTTTCTAATCCCTGACAGCGGTGCCAAAAACTTGTTGGGTCCAAATGCACACGCAAGTATACGTAGTTGACAAGTAATAAAGTGATAAAAGAGTATCGTTCCCACGAGGATTTATGATCAACTACTGCCAAAACTAAACTAGTTACAAGTTATTTGTTCAAGATATTTTGAGGAAGATGATTGTGGTTTTTACTTACTAAATTACTACGAAACTAATAAGCAAATAAGAGAATAAGATCACAAGTAGAGCAAATAAACACGTAGGAGTGAATTCAATATGATGGGGATATTCCAGGGTTATGGGATTAATGCCTCTCCTATTGTATTCTTCCGGTTGATTCAACTACTTAATCTATCTAATTTGTTGATTAACATGATCTAAACTGATCGAAGTTTTTTCGATGCCTCGCTCGCCTGTTCAAGCCAACCGAACACTATTTGTCTATAGAATCAGAATTAGCTAGAATGAATGTGCAGCGTGTGCAATAATAACCAAGTAAGGCAACTAAAATATGTCTATCCTAATCGCAAATCTATTCTCTGATGCCTGGATTCAAGAACTTACTTTATTCAATCTTATATGTAATCTATATTTCCCACTTTCTTATTCAACTATAAATTCGTAGATAGTATTCTACTGTTAGCTATGCAATAAAATAATTGAGCACAAGATTGAATAATCAAATTAATATGATAGAATCAAGCAATATCGTCAATCGTCAAAGAACAAAGTCAATAACAACCCATAACCCTAGAATAATGAGGTTTTTAGCCACTCATGTTCATAATAATAATCAAAGTATTGTTTTTATACATAGAAGCTACGAAGACTAGATGAAAGATGTAAAAATCAATGAATTTCATGCTCCATTTGTGTTTCTATGCCTTTGCCTCCTTCAAAATTGACCAACCTCTTTAATAATCATGTTTAGGCGGTATTTATAAGCTAGGTTAGGAGTCTCCAAGTGCAAAATTGAGTAGAAAATAATTTATTCGCGGACTGGGGGACCAGGCTTTAGAGCTCGCGAGGCCTGGTCTGTAGCATGGTTGAGCGCACCTCAAGCCAGGCGAGGCGAGGTCCGGGGCGAGGTTGAGCTCGCCTTAGACCAGGTGAAGCGAGGTACCCTTGCCTTGCTCCGATTTTTTTATTCTCGTACTCTTTTCTTGAGTCTTCAACATCTTTTTGTGCAACTTTCATACTTTATGTATTCCAATGATCCTCCACTTAAAAACAACTTTATTAAGCTCAAAGGTCACACAATTAATCATTAAAGTACTAAAATTTAAGGTAAGCAATGCATTAAAAATATACATTTATAGCCGAATATCACTCCCTTATGTCACCACATGCGCATCTAGCCACCCTGATCTTGCCGCTTGCACATCACAAATGAAATGCCTCCCTTATATTGCCGCATACGCATGTACAATCAATATGCACAACATGCCCACATGTGGCACAATCATCACAAAATGCAAAATAACAATTTATCATCACGAGGTACATCCTCATAACTCATCAATAAAGCACACAAGGACATGATAACAACAAAAGTTCGAATAAAGCATGACTATTGTTAAATCAAGTATAGAAACCAAGTTCAAGTAGTCATACAAAGGATCATATATGTATCACAGAGTGTACACGTCCTAATCAAGTCATATTACAAGAACAAGTCCCGATGTGTGTTCATAACCTACATGTATCTATCTTCAAGGCAAATATGGCATAAGTATCAAGATTTGCTCATTATGTTCAATATAAGGTACCAATAGCCTCAACATTTCTCTACCATAGTTTATAGTACTCACGAAGTCAATTAATTTAATAATACATGGAACCAAGTAAAAAACACAACCAAATAAGACATAGAGTAAGCTAGAATCTACCCCGAGCATGAATACGCATGTCACATGTATATACGCTTGTCACCTCATATATACATCACCCCGCATATAGAAAACAATATCAATTAGTAGGAAAATTTTTCTCAACCAAACCTAGGCAAGATACTTACCTAACACAAGCCAAATCAATACTAAAAAATAGCCTTTCCCATAAAAATTACCTCAGCCCGGCACAAATCTAGCCCAAAACGATTCGATAACATCAAAAAATGAAAAAGGAATCAATTTCAATTAATAAAGTCGTAATCTTTTTGCAATTCCCAAAAGTCAACAAAAATCAACCCCGGGCCCGCCCCGTCAAAAATCCGAGTCGAGGGGTAGATCTCGACTACCCATAACCCCACAAGTCCAAATATATGATTGGTTTTCAAATCCGAGTCCAAATCGACTCTCAAATCTCAATTCTTTTAAAAACATAGTCAAAAATCCCCAAAAATATCTTCCAACTTCCATGATTTTAATGTTAAAATCCATAAGAAATCAAGTTATAATATCAAAATTGAGTGAAATCACTTACCCAATAGCTATGTGTGAAATCTCCTCCAAGAATCGCCTCCCACCAAGTTTAGAGCTCAAAAAGTGATAAAATGAGACTAAGTCCCGAAATTCCATCTATTAACCCAGCTGCAAATGTCGCATTTACGGCGTCGCACCTGTGATCAATCCCCTCGCAGGTGTGATCACTCTAGAAGGTCCACAATCTCAACAATGCTTCAAGTCCCATTTTTTGATCCGTTAACCATCCGAAATCCACCCGAGGCCCCCGGGACCTCAACCAAACATACCAACAAGTCCTAAAATACGATACGAACTTAGTAGAGGACTCAAATCACATCAGACAACATCAAAAATACGAATCGCACCCCAATTCAAGCCTAATTAAGCTAAAGAATGTCCAACTTCTACAATCGATGCCGAAACCTATCAAACCAACTCCGATTGGCCTCAAATTTTGCACACAAGTCATAAATGACACAATAGACCTATTCCAACTTCCGGAACCAAAATTCAAGCCCAGTAATCACAAAGTCAACTCTCGGTCAAACTTCTCAATTCTCCAAACTTCAACTTTCCCAACTTTCGCCAATTTAAGCCAAAATCATCTACGGACCTCCAAATAAATATCCGGACACACTCCTAAGTCCAAATCACTATAAAGAGCTATCGGAATCATCAAAACTCCATTCCGGAGTTATTTACACATAAGTCAACATCTGGTCAACTATTTTGACTTAGGCTTCCAACCTTGGGTCGAAGTATCCCGATTCATTTCGAANGGGAAGGGGCTATAATACTCAAAATGACCGGCCGGGCCATTACAGCTACATTGTGTCATTTCATCTTATTATGCCGAGGGTCTATCAGCAATAACATCTCTACTCCACCGGAGTAGGGGTAAGGTCTGCGTACACACTACCCTCCCCAGATCCCGCTTGTGGGATTTTGCTGGGCTGTTGTTGTTGTTATTATTGTTGTTGTTGTTGCTGCAGTTTCCTCACATTATCGCTTTAA